CGAGGATCTGCTTTACACAGTCCACAGGGGTCCTAACATATTGGACTTTGTTTTTGCTGCCCCCTCTGGTGGCGGGTCACGTGACCGAAGGCTGACGAATGGATCGGCTCCAATTAGAGCCGGAGGACAGCTTCCCCGCTCATAGGACTCCGCTTGAAGTTTCACTTAGAGGGAGGCGGTCAGAAAGCGAGCAGCAGCTGCTGAGCGTTCCTATTGGATATCTGTAGACATTGAAATCGAGGCATCTGGACTTTACTGTATTTTTCTTGGAGGCCCTTCGCTGGTCATCCAATCAACTTTCTGAATGGAGCAAGCCGGTCACATGACCAGCAAAAGGCCTTCGAGGAAAATACAGCAAAGTCCAGATGCTTGACCAGGACCTGGATGAATGAGAACCGGCACAGGCATTCCTATTGGAATCACTTAGAGAGAGGCGGTCAGAAAGCGAGCAGCAGCTGCCGAGCATTCCTATTGGAGGCCTTTTGCTGGTCATCTGACCGGCTTTCTCAATTCAGAGGAAAGCTGGTCGCATGTCCAGTGCTGTATTTTCCTCGAAGGCCCTTCGCTGGTCATCCGATCAGCTCTCTGAATGGAGAAAGCCGGTCACATGACCAGAAAAAGGCCTTCGAGGAAAATACAGCAAAGTCCAGATGCCGCGAGTTATCTTCTGTGGATAGATCATGACCTGGATGAATGAGAACCGGCACGGACATTCCTATTGGAATCACTTAGAGAGAGGCGGTCAGAAAGCGAGCAGCAGCTGCTGAGCATTCCTATTGGAGGCCATGGAGGCCAGGTATCATGGAAGCTCCCGGCAATGCATCTTTGCTTTTAAATATAGATTTTGTACGAGCAACAACAACAAAAATAAAATATAAAAGTTATTAAAAAGCTGTGAACATATCGAAATCGATTAAATACCCCTCCCCCCCACCCCCAAAAATAAATAAAAAAATAAATAAAAACCCCATAAAGCAGTTTTGTCTGTAATTCTTCCCTTGTCCGAGCTGCCGCCCCCCTGAAGACTCCAAGGTCCAATTCCCAACCTCCTATGGAAAGCTGAAGGAAGCCTATCATCATTTAACCCACTTCCTGTGAGCTCAGGGTGTCGTGGACACGCCCTTTAGGGGGCGTGTCATCCAGCATCTCGGGCTTACAGTGCTACGGCATGGAAGGGCAGCGACGTGATGTCCTCAGCACCGCTCTCTGCGATATGAGGAGCGACCAGCATCGGAGACGAGGGGTAAAGGAAGAAGATCCTCTGCATGAGGTGATGGGGTGTGTGTGTGGGGGGGAGCATCGTAGAGGACGGGGGGAAAGGGTCCCATAGGGGGGGACTGGGGACACCCCAGCATGAGGTGATGGGGTGTGTGTGTGGGGGGGGGCATCGTAGAGGACGGGGGGAAAGGGTCCCATAGGGTGGGACTGGATCGGGATCTTTGTGTTACAGCAGTTAGGAATTTCATGCCTATGGTAATGCCCAGTAGGACTTCTTTAAAGTGAACCTGTCATCTGTTGAAAATCCTACCTAGGGGCACCCATCACAGGGTGCCCCCCCACCAGGAGGAGAGCCTGTATGTGACCCCAGTTTCCCCTTTATCACTGAGGACTTGACTTTTTTTACTTTGGGGTAGTTGGACCCCGCCCCTGGAGCTATGTCCCACCTACCAGGTTCCATTAGAGCCCGTGCTTTGATCATGGTCTTACTTTGTTACTAAGGATTTGACGTTCCTGACTTTCAGGTGAAGCCCCGCCCCCGGAGCTATGTCCCAACTACCTTCCCGTCCAATCAGGCGCCATTAGAGCCTTTGGTAACAAAATAAATCCAGGATCAAAGCAAGGACTTGACTTTTCTGACTTTGGGGTCATGCGCCCCCCCCCGGAGCTACGTCCCACCTACCTCCCATCCAATCAGGTGCCGTTAGATCCCGTGCTTTGATCCTGGAGTTACTTTGTTACTAAGGACTTGACGTTCCTGACTTTGGGGGTCGAGCCCCGCCCCCCGGATCTAAACCTCACCCACCAGCCCCGCCCAACAAGGTGCCTCTGTGGTCGGCAAGGGCGCTTTCATTTTGGCAAGGGGTCGGTGGGTGGGGCTTAATGGCCAGACAGGGGCCAAACAAGGCCGAGGTTGAACAAAATGAAATGCTAATTCTTATAAACGGACCCCGTGGCCTACACACGCACACACACGCACACACACGTACATATAGATTTATATATGTCTGGGGGGGCGGGTATTTGTTGACCTTTGAACTTTAAAGAGGGTAATAGATTGTGATTGCTCAGAGCAGCGATTGTGATGTTCTCTTTGGACGGAAAGACCGCACTACCCACGTTAGCTATGGAGGGAGGGGTGACTAGGGCACTGGACTGGGGTAGAGCGCCCCCTGCTGGTTTAGCCCTTGACCGGATTTGCAGGGTCTCTTTCCTGTCCGAAGCGACTCTAGAGCGGTGTGTGGCGTATCTGTGGGAGGAGCCTCTTGGCTTGGATTTCCGCATGACTTTGGAGGACCTGGTTTGGGACTGGAGCCTCCCCCCGCCTCGAGGAGCCTAATCCCTCCGTGCACCGCTCCCATCGTCCCGTCTTGCAGAAGACATTTTTCATTACCCGGCGTGAATTTCCGCTCTCGTTTTTGGACGTTCTATCTGCCCCGCGTGCCGCCTCGGCACCTGGCAGAGCGCGTTGTCTCTCTCCTCCCTTTAATCGTATGTAGACCGTCACTCCCGTTGCGCCGTGTTCTCCTTCTGCCCCCCCTCCCTTCGCCACAGGGTGTCGGACCAGCGCCCCCCACGGGTGAAGAGAGAGGGCCACGGGGTGGCCGCAGTCAGATGGCAGTGTCCCACAGCACAGCCTGTTGCCGATGGCAAGGTGGGGTCCCGCCTTTGCGGCCCTCCGACCCCCGACGCCAGCTCGGCAGGATGGGCAGGCTCTCCTGCTTGCAGAGGCCGCGCTCGGCCCGCGGCTGGCGAGACTTGATCTCGTGGCACAGGAACCTTTTCCTCTCGATGACCTCTTGGAGCTTCCCGTCACGCTCCCGGCTCCCGGGGGCCGCGGCGGGGGTGGGGGACAGGACGGCCTGGGAGAAGGAGGAAAGAGACAGAGTGAGGGTCCATCCGTTCGGCCTAGGCTAGAACTATGAGGTGAGTGAGAAGCCCCTCCCCTCATAGTTCTCCTTTAAGTTGTCTCCGGTAGTTAGTGTGAGAAGTAACAATGAATATTCCTGAGGGTCTTGTTCCAGACATGAGAGCTGAGGGGGGAGAATAAATACCTGGAGCAACCTTCTAGAAGTGTCTTCCCTTCCGATCGGTGAACTGGCCAGGTAGGCACAGTTAGGGGGGCGATCGGTGAACTGGCCAGGTAGGCACAGTTAGGGGGGCAGATCGGTGAACTGGCCAGGTAGGCACAGTTAGGGGCAGATCGGTGAACTGGCCAGGTAGGCACAGTTAGGGGGGCAGATCGGTGAACTGGGAGAGGCATGCCACATAGGGAGCCAGCCATTTGTGATGCCCTGCTCAATTGTGAACAAGAAAGAAGCTGCTGATAGGACGGTAGACAGAAGCGTGACTGAGAGATGAGCTCATCAGTCTGCCGCTTCTCCTTTCACTGTCCAGTCACATGCTGGGGGAGGGACAGGACCTGTACGTGTTACTGAGCTGCTGCATGACCGATTTGTGTAAATCTCAGGACTGGATGGACAGAAGATACAAGTCCATTGGCAGTGTGTGTCGTTGGTCGTATGGAGTTGAGCTTTAAATGGATTTAGAAAGGATTTACTAATGTGCGATGCTCTGCAGCAGAGGGTCATGTGGACGGCCTGGTGAGAACTGTGTGGACAGGCAGGTGGTAGGTAAAGTGGCGGAACCCCGCCCGGGACTGCAGAGGTTAACAGAGTCATAATACGCTGATTGGCCAGTCCTTGTTCTTCCCACCTCTGAATTTTCTCCCCGCCCACTGAGAGATCCCTCCTTCAGCGCAAGAGTGATGCTCTGCACAGGGGTGATGATCTGCATGTAAGAAATGCAGCAATGCTCTGCAGAGGGATGTAATGTTCTGCAGGGAGGAGGCAGACATAGCAGTGATGCTTAAAAGCAGAAGGGGGGAGGGGAGGGAGAATGCTCTGTACGGGTGCGATGCTCTTCAGCTGAAAGGACAATCGGATGCAGCAATGCTCTGCAGTTATGCCCATGCAAAAAAAACATATTGATGTCTCAGTGAACTGAATGAGGCAAAATGGTCTGCGGAGTGATGAGATGCTCTGCATGAGAGGCTACAGATGGATGGAAAGGCACAAACATGAAGCGATGCTCTGCAGAGGACGCAATGCTCTGTGATAACAAGCAGGCAATGATGTGCATACATGGAGTAAAGCTCTGCTTTTCATAGAGGTATAATGAAGTGAAACAATGCTCTGCAGACAACTGCAATGGTCTTCAAAAGCGAGCGAAGCAATACTCTGCAGACAGGAGAAATGATCTGCAGTACAATGCAGACCAGTGCTCTGCAGAAGGGAGCGCTGCTCTGTACAATGAAGTGAAGCAATGCCATGCAGACAGGTGAAATGGTCTGCATCTGGGAGCAGAGGAATGCTCTGCACACAGGCTGCAATAGTCTGTTTTCTGAAGTGTCAATAAGTTGAGCGATGCTCTGCAGAGATGTGCAGCGATCTGTAAAATTAATCAGAGCAATGATCTGCATGCAAGTGAAGCAAAGCTGGCAATGATCCAAACTATGACACAGCAGCAATGCTCTGCAGGCGGTGCGATGAATCTGTACTATGAAATGGAGCAATGCTCTGCAGACAGGTGAAATGGTCTGGATCTAGGAGCAGAGGAATGCTCTGCACAAAGACGCAATAGTCTGTTTTCTGAAGCGTCAATAAGCGGAGCGATGCTCTGCAGGCGGTGCGATGATCTGTACTATGAAATGGAGCAATGCCCTGCAGACAGGTGAAATGGTCTGGATCTAGGAGCAGAGGAATGCTCTGCACAAAGACGCAATAGTCTGTTTTCTGAAGCGTCAATAAGCGGAGCGATGTTCTGCAGAGAGGTGCAGCGATCTGTAAAATGAAGCAGAGCAATGATCCGCATGCAAGTGAAGCAAAGCTGGCAATGATCCAAAACTATGACACAGCAGCTGCAATGCTCTGCAGGCGGTGCAATGAATCTGTACTATGAAATGGAGCGACGCACTGCGGAGCGGCGAACATGTCGCGTGCAATGGAAGAAGCAGCGGTGATCTGGCACAGCGTGACGCTGAAGCGTGATGACCTGCGGAGGTTTAGAGATAGTCTGCAGGGAGCATGGCGGCAGAAGCGACGCACGTTTACATGGAATACCTGATTCTGCCTCTGAACGGAGGTCTGACGCACTCCGGACGTGGAGGCGGATCTGCCGAGGCGATAGCCACCTCCGAAATCTGCGGGGACAAATCGGGGAGAAGAGTGAGTGTCATTGGTGAAGCGTTATGAAGCGTAACCACAAGGGGGCAGCAGAGTCCAGCGTAGGAGAGAAGGCCGATGGGAGAAATGCTGGAAAGATATTTCATGTCACATGGGAGGAGTTTGCCATTTCAATGCGGTTTGTTCCCCCCCCACCCCACCCCCCCCGAAAGATTGTGCACCAGCCGGGACAATGGGAAGGCTTTGTTCACACATGATGTCATTGACTAAAAATAACGAAATTATGTCATTTTTTTTAACTGTTATTTTATGCTTTTCGGACAAGAATAGCGAGCGGGCTTGGCCAATGGACCCTGCGCTTCATTCCAGGGGAACCGCAAGATCCTCACTTCTAATTCAAGACTATGAACAGCCACTCGAGAGAACTGAGAGTTTTTATATTTAGGACTCCTGAGAAGGGCTCTTGTCCTTTTTATCCAAGAGCACGAGGCTGAATGGACCAGGCCTCCTATTAGGGACTAGCTAGAATATCCTAAGCCATATACAACCAGATGGACAACTGGACTTTGTATGTCAAGCTGGAGATTACTACTTGGAAGACGCGTCTTACGTCTACACACAAAAAGGACTTCGCTCTACTTCTAAACCTAGAAAGCCCCCTTGTAGGGTGTGTTCTCCATTTACGGTTAAAGATCTAAAAGGACTGTGTTGTTCCTCCAAGTCTACAGAGACCCTCGGAAAGGCCTGTGCTGCCCTTAGCCTACAGAGACCCTCTGAAAGGCCTGCGCTGCCCATCTAAGTCCACAGAGATCCTCTGAAAACACTGTTCTCTCCATTTAAGCCTACAGAGACCCTCGGAAAGGCCTGCGCTGCCCATCCAAGCCCACAGAGAGCCTCCAAAAACATTGTTCTCTCCATCTAAGCCTACAGCGACCTTCTGAAAGGGCAGTGCTGTCCATCTAAGCCTACAGAGAACCTCTGAAAACACTGTTCCCTCCATCTAAGGCTGCAGAGACCCTCCAGAAAGGCTGTGTGGTCCATATAAGCCTACAGAGATCCTCTGAAAACACTGTTCTTTCCATCAAAGCCCACAAAGACTATCTGAAAGGACAGTGCTGTCCATCTAAGCCTTCGGAGAACTTCTAAAAACACTGGTCTCTCCATCTAAGCCTACAGAGACCCTCTGAAAAGGCTGTGTGGTCCATTGAAGCCAATAGGGACCCTCTGAAAGGACTGTGATGCCCATCTAAGCCTACAGAGATCCTCTGAAAACACTGTTCACTCCATCTAAGCCTACAGAGGCCCTCTAGAAAGGCTGTGTGGTCCATATAAGCCAATAGGGACCCTCTGAAAGGACTGTCACCCCATCCTAACTTAAAGAGATCCTTTGAAAACACTGTTCTCTCCATCTAAGCCTACAGAGACCTTTCGAAAGGCTGTGCTGCCTATCTAAGGCTGGGCACACACCTTACAACCACCGCAAGACTTTTGTCTTGCGACGGTTGTGAGGTAATTAAAGAAACGTACCATCTGCCCATCTTGGACAGGCAGTTGTTTTACAGTTTTATTAAACCATATTGGTTTAGTCTTTGATCTTTTATTTTTGCTCCCTAAAGGTATACACTTTGAAGTAGCAGTATGTACTGTGTTTTTAAAACAATCCCACATCTGGTCTGTGTTTAGGTTTTGAAATAAGTTTTCCCATTTTATTTCCCCCACTAGGTTGCGCAGCTTCTCAAAGTTGGCCCTTCTGAAGTTTAGGGTTCTAGTCCTTCCAGTACACTTCCCTTTTCTGTGTTCAATATTAAAAGTAATCACATTGTGATCACTATTACCCAATGACTCCCCAATTACAATATCATCGTACTTGCGATGATCACAAGCCACGCCCCCCCTGAGTGGCGGGCTTCCTATGACCGCAATGCCGACCGGGCTGTGTGCGCTTGGGCACACCGGCCCATCCGGCTTTTATCGTACGAACATGCTACACACCCGCCGAACATCGTACGATACTCGGCGAGTTTTCGAACACGTTCGTCAGTTAAAAGTCGTGCGACCTTACAGTAGTAGAGGTCGCACGGCTTCCACACGCCTTACCATAATCGTACGACCATAATCATCTATGCCTACAGAAAGCCCTGGAAAGGACTGTGCTCTCCATGTAAACCTACAGAGAACCCATTGAAAGGACTATGCTCTCCATGTAAACCTACAGAGAACCCCTTGAAGGACTGTGCTCTCCATGTAAACCTACAGAGAACCCCTGGAAAGGACTGTGCTCTCCATGTAAACCTACAGAGAACCCTTGAAGGAACTGTGCTCTCCATGTAAACCTACAGAGAACCCCTTGAAGGAACTGTGCTCTCCATGTAAACCTACAGAGAACCCCTTGAAAGGACTGTGCTCTCCATGTAAACCTACAGAGAACCCCTTGAAGGAACTGTGCCTTCCATGTAAACCTACAGAGAACCCCTTGAAAGGACTGTGCTCTCCATGTAAACCTATAGAGAACCCCTTGAAGGACTGTGCTCTCCATGTAAACCTACAGAGAACCCCTGGAAAGGACTGTGCTCTCCATGTAAACCTACAGAGAACCCTTGAAGGAACTGTGCTCTCCATGTAAACCTACAGAGAACCACTTGAAGGAACTGTGTTTTCCTTTTAAGCCTCCAGAATGTCTCTGAAAGGACTGCGCCCTCCATGTAAGCACACCGAGAAACTCTGAAAGGGCTGTCTTGTCCATCTAAGCCTACTGAAACCCTCTGGAGGGCTGGGTTCTCCATCTAAAACTGCCGAGAGCATCTAAAAAGGACTGTTCTTTGTATCCAAGCAACTGAAAGGACTCTAACGGCAGTATCCAAGACTATAGAAATCCTCCGAAATGACTTCAGGAACATAGACATTTACTGTATGTTTAATATTGGCTTTGTGAGCTGTAATTGGGCACTTTAGCATTATATCCCAGTTACCCCATATACTTGATCATGAATACCTGCACTCCGATGGCATGCTGGGAAGGTCTGACACGGCACTGGAAGCCCGGTCCTGGCCACCCCTCGGGCCATCGCACTGTCCAGGCTCTGCTGACTCCGAACAGGAATTCCAGACACCACAGGTGTATGGGCCCTCTTCTCCGATCTCCCAACATTCCCGTTCCAGGCACGAGATCCATCTGTAATCGCTGGAAGGGAAAAGTCTTAGATGTCATCAACAGAACCACACTGGCCTCTTATTAAGGTTGTCATGCGATGCCCGGTAAAAGCAAGTCGCCAAGCAGAGGTTTTCAGATGGAAATCTCGGTGTACTGGTCAAGTTTTCAATGGAGGAAAGAAAAGAACCTTCATCTACTGTACATCGGTTTGTTGGCCAAGTCCGGGAGATTGTGGTGGGTCAAAGTGGTGAGACGGGTATTTATTTTATCTCATGTTGTCGGTAACTGGTCTATAGTCTATAGTCCTCATAATACCCTCTATTTACAGTCATGTCACTCTTTCCAACGTTACTGGATGGCAGAACTTCCCAAACTTTCCTCACTGTGATCATTCATGCCTTATGACTGCCAGGGATGCCAAATGGTGTTGCTCAATGTTAAAAGGTGAACTATGGGGCTAGGGCTTTTCCCCATAGTCCTCCTAAGGGCAACGGGAGGACACAAACTAGGCTCGCGGTATACTGCGGCTACAGCTCCCGGTATACTGAGACACCGCAGCCGGAACGGATCCCGACAATTCTGTCTGGATCCGCCCAGCTGCGTGAGTGACAGCTGGCTCTGCCTATCTAGAGGCAGAGCCAGCTGTACCCGCCCCCTCCTCTGTCCGTTGCGCCAGTCAGCGCTGGAGGATCGGACAGGGGAGGGGGGGATCCCTGCAGGGAGCTGTGAGTGACAGTCACGGCTCTCTGCAGGGATAGATCGAGAAGTGAGCGAGCGCCGGTATGTGTTCCCTCACTTCCCGATCTATTGAGACGACCTGTGACAGTTTCATTGTCAGCTCAGATTATGAGGCCGAGTGAAAATCACTCCCGTCATAGTTCTCCTTTAATGTCACTTGTGCATATTGGTAGTCACCCCATGCATATTGGTAGTCACCCCACATTTTCCTCTTTCAGATGAATATTTTGTTAATTTCCTTTCACAGTTGAGGTACCTAAAAGCATCCCAAACACTTGCCCCTTAATTTGCACAGTACCAGTAGAGGAAGGGCCGGATTTACACCTGTACAACACAGGCCACAGCTTCGAATGGCAGAGCTGCCTAGAGAGGTGCACAGCCACCCAATCATCACAGAAAAGAAAAGCCCAATCTGCCCAAGGACACGGACAACTGGACACACATCGGTTCTCCACATACAGACAGAATTGCCGTGTGCATCTGCATAGGGGCACGGGGGTTCATGTACGTGATGTGTTCATGCACACCTGATTTCTATGTGTACTTCTGCACTTGCAGTTCCAAGAAGGCTATTTATGTCCCCCCTAACCTCTAGCAGGCTATTTAAGTCCTCCCAGTCCTCCCTAACCTCATTGCTGCTTGGTCATCAACTGTATACACAGAAAGGACGTCCTGGAGCTGGAAAGAGTCCAGAGAAGGGCAACTAAACTAATCAAGGGTCTGGTGGACCAAAGCTATGAGACGAGGTTACAAAACTTAAATATGTTCACGCTGGAAGTGAGGAGATTAAGGGGGGGCATGATTTGGATGTACAAGATGTTCAATGGTGATGGCAACATCAGCAATAAACCTTTTACAGTAAACTCCATAACAAAGACTAGAGGCCACCACCTAAAACTGGTGGAGAAAAGATTTAACCACAAGTGGCGTAGGAGCTTCTTCTCAGTCAGAGCGGTTGGGGTCTGGAACTCGCTGCCGCAAGCAGTGGTATCAGCTGAGAGTGTTGAATCATTCAAAGAGCATTTGGACAATTTCCTCAGAGACCGGAACATACAGGGGTACAGGTACCCTTAAAAAAATAAGATCACACGGGGACTCGTACACATACACATGCAGGGTCACAAACATACACACAATAGGTTGAACTTGATGGACCTGTGTCCATATTCAACCTCAAATACTATGTAACTATGTATATCTTGCCAACATTTATAGACATTTATATTTATTTATCGATTTGTATAAACTTGTGGTTTTAGCTAATTGGCAGGCTGCATAAAAGAAGCTGGGCCCTGGCTTGGAAAATGAAGCTGGGCACGAGCCTGGCAATGAGGACGGGACTATTAAGAAAACAGATGCCACTCAAACTAGGTGTATTGACTTACGTTCGCCAAGTTGGCTTCTACGCCCACATGACATCCTTCTTTGCAGTTCCCACACTGAACCAGCTCGGTTGTCTTCCATCTGTCCTGTTCCACCTCCACGAGGTTCCGAGGCCTGAACAATGGGTGTCCTTGAGCCCTTTACGCTGTTCTCATATGCTGGTGGTCTTTTGCTTGCAGGGTACGTCCAGACAGGAGGAGAAGCCTGCTCCCCTGGTGCCTGATGGAGGTGTGCTGACGGAGGCCGACTAGGGATTGGCGTCCCTGCTGCTGCACGGGATGCTGGGCAGATGAGTCCGGACAAGACTGAAATTTCCCTCTCAGTCTTTTCCTCTAGCTGTGAGGCTGGTAAGAGTGAATGGGTCACCTTGACGGAAGAATACACCATGGTGTAGGAAAGGGCTTTGTCCCGGGCATGTCCATGAGGAATGGGTAACATGGATCCCCCTTTTTCCTGTGAGCAAGCTGACCCTCGTGGGATTTCAGAGTCTGGCCTGCGCTGGACAGAGTTTTGAGGTGGTAGCGGGGTTGAGTGGCTGCGGGCACGACCGGATGGCGGCAGGTGAACTGAAGATGAGGAAGCTATGGAAGGCACCTCTTTGTGGGGCACTGGCAGCTTGGATGACACCGGCTGTGAAGGCTTTGTGACTTTTTGGCCTTTTCCAGACGGTTCACCCAGAAGAGGAGGTCTGTGCTGCAGGAGGTTGGGAAAAGGTGGAGGAATGTCGACCTCAGGAGTTCTAGGTGGCGGTGGCCGGCGGCGCTGAGGGTGACGAGGGATGGATGGTTTCTCTTCGTGGACTGGGTATTTCATTTCCTCATATATAGCTTCTTCTTCCCCATCTGACTCTTCTTCTGGTGGAGCTGGGGTGGGAGGTGGTGGAGGTCTCCGTGAGACATTGCCGACCATCTCAATATAAACAGGTTCGTCAGGGGAAGGTGAAGATGCGCGAGTGTTAGGATTGAGAATGGCAGATGAGGAGGCTGGACGATTGGCATAGGCCTCATCAAATGAAGCGGAGAGATGAGTGTGTGGGCTGCGCTGTGGCTTCTGGGGTGGCAACCGGCGAGAGTCAGAGGCACTTTTTAGGGACCCTACAAAAGAAAGGCAACTTTTTAAGTTTAATTTAGTTTGCTTTTTTAATATTTATCTCCTAAGCCTAGACTTCCCTTCCCAAGTCAAGCTCTTTCTAGACAATCACAAAGTGTTCCTTGGCCAACTTGATGATATAACCCTGGCAGTGTTTTTGGGATTCCTGTGGCCTTCTAGTTAGACATACTTAATAGATAATCAGGAAGCTTCTTAGTGATCCCATACCACCTCAGGAGCCAAACTTCTTGGTGGTCCCATACCACCTCAGGAGCCAAGCTCCTTGGTGGTCCCATACCACCTCAGGAACCAAACTCCTTGGTGGTCCCATACCACCTCAGCTAGCTACTCTGAATTTGGGCAATGGCCCTACTCAAAGGAGATCCTATGCTGCTCAGTTATTATGGAAGGTACACCCAACAACCCTTTAGAGATTTGGGCTGGCAGAAGTGGAGAAGCTGCTTGTCTGGTCAATGAGCTCTTTGCACTAGAACCCTTATAGATCTACATGGCTTGGCTCATCTACAGCCTGGTCAGGTGGTTTTTAGGACATACATGGAAGAGCTGTGAAAGTCTTTACATAGACTAAGCTACGGTACACCGGCAGGCACTCTTGGTTTTGTGTATTTGGCTGGTCTTACCTTCTTTTCTGAGCCTACGTTCCTCTGCTGTCCTTCCATCTCCACCAAAGCTGAGTTTTGTGCTGGGGTTCCTCTTGGGTTTAGCCGGGACCCTCCTCCCAGATGGACCCCCTTCATTTCCACTCTCCTCTGGTGCGCTGCCCACCGAGTGACAGGAAAGGGATCGAGGGGCCATGGCACTAGCACAAGGGAGAGGGGCCCGCTCCTGAGAGGCTGGCATCGTCATGAAGCCCATTCGAAAGTGGCGACGGAACGAGGCCATATCCCGGACCAAGACTAAAATATTTCAGACTGATGCCCAGATATAAAACAGATTATCAGACAGATATTTTACTGGCTTCCTGATACTTTACTGTAAATGCAGACAGACTGGGGGGCTTTCACTGTAGGAATATGGTAAGCATGCTGTGGATTCTTTACTGTAAGAGGAGGCAGGAGGTGAATTCTTTACTGTAAGGGGAATCAAACTGCATTCCATACTCTAAGGGTACTCAGACTGTCAGCTATTAATAGTAGAAAGTGTGTGGATTCTACTTGAAGCGGAACTCCCTTCCAGAAACGCTTTTAAGGATAGCCAGGCTGTGGATCCTTGATTGTCAGGGCAGCCTGATTGTGAATTCTTTACTGCAAGTGGAACCAAAATGGATTCTTTACAGTAAAGGGAATCTAAGCGGACATGACAAGTAAGTAATACAGTTACATAGTATTTGAGGTTGAATAAAGACATAAGTCCATCAAGTTCAACCCATTGCGTGTATGCATGTTACTCTGGATGTGTATGCGTGTGTATGAGTCCCCGTGTGTGTTCTTGTTCAGTCCTCCTGTTACCCTAAGGAGAACTATGGGGAAAAGACTTAACCCCACAGCTCTCCTTAAACAGAAATTGTACCCCTGTATGTTACGGTCTCTGAGGAAATCGTCCAAGTGTTTTTTGAAAGATCCCACACTCTTAGCTGAAATCACTTTCTGTGGCAGCAAGTCCCAGACCCTAACCGCCTGAACTGTGAAGAAGCCCCTTCGCCCCTTGTGCTGAAATCTTTTCTCCACCAATTTTAGGTGGTGGCCTCTAGTCTTTGTTTTGGAGTTTACCGTAAAAAGTTTGTTGCTGATGTTGCCAACACCATTGAACATCTTGTACATGAAAATAATGTCCCCCCTTAATCTCCGCACCTCCAGCGGGAACATGTTTAAATTTAGTAACCTCGTCTCATAGCTCTGGTCCTCCATCCCCTTAATTAGTTTGGTTGCCCTCCTCTAGACTCTTTCTATCTTCAGGACGTCCTTTCTATGTACTGGTGACTACACATGTGCACTGGCAAAAAAATTGTTTAGTTTAGTTTTGATTCGGATTTTGTGTTATTTCGTTGTTTCGGGATTCGCGTGTTAAAGTCAATTCGGATTCGGATGAAATTCGTTCACACGTTCGTTTCGTTTTCGTTTCTTATTCGTTTCGTCCGTTTGTGGCAGCAAAGTGACATTTGAGGGGGGAACATTTTTTTTTTCTCCTTCTCTGATGTCACTTTGCTGCAACGATGGAGCGAACGAAACGAATAAGAAACCGAACGTGCGAACGAACTACCGCTAATGAATTTCGGAAATGGAGATTCGGATTTGTCTGCATTTGTTATATATCTGCAATTTGGAATTCGGATACATCCGAATATTCGTCCGAATTTCGTTTCGGAGCGAATCGCACATGTCTACTGGCGACCAAAACTGAACCGCATACTCCAGATGAGGTCGCACTAGTGATCTATAAAGTGGTAAAATGATGGATTTGTCTCTCGAGTACCTTCCTTTTTTAATACAGGACAGGACTCTACTCGCTTTGGTTACCGCGGCCTGGCATTGCAAGCTATTGTTCAATCTGTGGTCTACTATGACCCCCAAATCTGTTTCCATTTCTGACTTCCCTAGTGGAGCTCCCATTAATGTATAGCCCTCTTTATCTTTAACCCCAAAGTGCATTACTTTACATTTATCCACGTTAAACCTCATCTGCCATATAGTTGCCCCTCCCCCTATTTTATCCAGGTCCTCCTGTAATGTTCTACTGTCCAAGTGCGTGTCTATTAAGGTGCCCATACACTGCACGATTCTCGTACGAGAATGGCGGGAAATCCCGCGATCGTACGAGAATGACTATGCTCACAGCAAATTCTCCAATCTTACTACTTTTACTGCAAAGAATCCACACTCCACTTACAGCAGAATCCACAGACTGCAACAAATGATGACAGACCCGCCTCGCTCTCACAGTTATACTGTATCCGTGGACTGACCACGCCATGGAATTAAATAAACAACAACGTGCTGGATTTTGGCCTTGTCCTACCTCTTCTTAGGCTCCTCTTCTTTCTGCCTCCACTCCACCCGACTCTTCCTGTACAGCAGATTCATGTCTCCTGCCTTTTCTATCCCGAGGTGTGTCACAGTGTCAGGGGAGCTGGGGGTCATCTTCCGGAGTCTGACCTCTTGACCCCTCAGATGATGGAGACTGCGGGGCAAACAAAATGGTACGGCGTGAAAACTGGTTCTCTGAGCTCGCCTGGCGGTTGCAGCTCATGTGTACTCCGCTTATATTTTACCCACCCCGGTGCGGCCTGCCGGGCGTCACCCAATGGCACGTCATCACGAACCGCACGTAATGACGTCACACACTCTGAACTGCTGGTAGCCATCTTGGTGATGGACGCCGGCAGAGAGAGGAGGGGACGTTCATCCGTTGGGATAAGGTATGCCGCCGGGTCCCCCTCCTCTCTCGTGCAGCTGTCTTCGTCCATGACCTTGTGGTTGACTTTTCAGAGAGGGTGACACCAAAATGACTGTCAGTCATTTTGGTGTCACCCCTCTGATGGTGTCTCTCAGTGTGAGCGAGATGCCTCGAGATGCCTGGACCAGAGTGGCAAAACGAACCCTTGTGACGCCACTGCACAGTACTCCTCTCAGGAGCCCTCAGCCCTAATGCAATCAGTGGGCGGGCTCTTGGGAGGAGTTATGCAAATATCAAAATGCCTCAATAGGTGGGTGTCAACGTTTCTAGGCAGGCTGCATTTGCATGCAGACCTCCATAGCTAACGTCCACATGTGATTTCTGAGCCTCCATGATTGAAGGAACTGAAATCCAATGAATGAAAGGGGCGGGGCCAGTCAAACTGGGAAGGTAAAAAAGCTAGATAACGCTGGACGTCCTCCAGCCAGGAAAGGAGGCGGAGCTCTATCTGACTTGCTGCAGCTTCTCATGCATATTGCGAGAAGCTCCCAGTGTGCAGTGACATCAGAGGAAGCAATTTCGGGCCAGGAGAGGAACCGGTACAACTGTGCAAGACTGAAGGGGAAGGCCGTAGTTCAGATTTAGGGCAGCCCATTTATCATAAACAGCCTTCCGATGTACCTCAATGGACCAGCCAATGGATGTGCACCTATTTGTCAGACACACTGCAGACCACCACAATGCATGGCAGCTACTATACAGTGCATATGGGCAAATGTTATATATAGATTGCTATGCAAGCATTCTCCAATTCTATGTTATTAAATTTGTACTTGTAAAAAGGTCTATTGGGCGGTGTTTAAAAAACGCAATACTCTCCTGCAAGCCAGAGCTTGTCCCCTGCAGTACTTCTTTTTCTCCACAAGACGTCCTCAGTCTTCCAGGTATCATGACACCCAACCTTCTTTAACCTAGAAGACTCAGGATATACTGGGAGCGCAGGGCATCAAGAACCCGCCCCCTTGGAGGGGTGCCCTCCATCAATTCGCTCTAGGGCCTTGGTTCTCAACTGGTGGGTCGTGACCCAAAAGTGGGTTCCCCGTGTTAGGTGGGTCGCCGCGTGCCTTCCACTTTTCTAGGTGAGAGGCTCCTCAGTCTCCCCCTAGCACAGTAGACTTGTGCGCCGTCAAAAAATTAGTTCCGTTCCGTTTCGTAATATCCGTTATTTCGTATTTCGTAATTCGTGTCCGAAACTCAATTCGGATTCGTACGAAATACGGATTTTCGGTAGTTTCGGCACATTTTCGTAACTTTACGAACATTCGTTATGATGAAGTTAAAAAGCAAAAATACCTTTGTTAATATTGGAGTCCATGTGGTCGTTGTTTTTGTATCCGAAATACGAATTCCGTTAACGGATTCCGTATCCGAATTTCGTATTTCGGACTTAAAAAAAAAACTACCATCAACTCCAATATCAAAGGAACTTTGCTTTTTAACTTCAATATAACGAATGTTCGTAACGGAACGAAAATACGTCAACGGAATTTCTTATTTCCTGCCTGTGTATTGTAATGCAACCCTCAGCGGCAGCGGATCCGTATTTCGTATTTAAAAAAAAATCTTGTCATGTTGTTCAACCTCATTTACAGGGGTAATATTAGTTCCCGTTTCAAAGAAATTCGGATCCGAAATTCGTGAACGGAATTTCGAATTTCGGATATAATTTGGAAACTGCAATTCGGATTTCTTATGCTTCCGGATCTACGAATTTCAGGAAAATTTGTAGGAATTTCGATTCGTAACGAAACGAATCGCACATGTCTATAGCACAGCACTGTCCCTTCTGACACCGAGCAGCCATTCAAAATATGCTGCCCGGTGCCGAGTGTCGACATGAGGTGGGGTGGGCTGGGGGTATGACAGAGAGGGAGCTCCATCCATACATGTATTGGTTACTGCTCCCTCACGTGCCCTGTCGAGGTGCCTGGACCGGAGTGGCAAAACATTCTGGCTCCCGGCACCTCTACAGGCGCGCATGGGAGCTGTACAAGCAATGCACATATGGATGGAGCTCCATCACAGCCCACACTGCCATACATTCCACTCCAGTGCGACTTGGGTCGCGACTTAATGACCAAGGACAAATGTGGGTCCTGAGGTTACACAGGTTGAGAACCACTGCTCTAGGGGTTGCAATTCTTCTTTAAAATCCACAATAGTTCCCGCCCATTGGTTCTGTAGGTTGGTATATGGCTATCCATCCATCCATCAGAGATAAACGTTTCACCTGACCCACCTTTTGGAGTCTCAGTCTGGCATCTTCATCCCACAGCCATATCTCCTGATACCGCATTGGTCTAACGTAGAATCAACCAACCACCCCAGCTGTGTTCAGCAGCTTGCCAAGGATGTCACAAACCATATCCTGTTCCATTCACTTAGACCCTAACCGGCCTCCAAGAGGGACGGACCCGATCAGTCCATGAGTCTATTGCATGAATGGAGGTTTTAGTGCAGAAATCTAGAACTCTTCTCTATATAAGACAGCAATCCAGAGGAATCATTAGAACCTACGGGTACGAGTGTTGCTTTTATTGGTCCATTTCTTTTCCTTCTGCCAATGTAGGTTTGCTATTGTGAAGTTATAGTCATCTGAGGCCCATGGTTCCTTGAAATCCCTTTTTGTAATCTTTGAAGAAGAATATAGTGAGGGGAACTTCGTAATGTCCTTGGAAGATTGTCCCTTCAGGTTCTTAGAGGAGAAGGCATTTTCACAATGGTTGTCGTCAACCAGGAAGGGTAACCAATGTTGGCTTCCAACAAGTCAACCGAATGACGGATCAGACCAGCTCTCTCCTAAAATGATATTACGTCTCGGACGTGGATGATAACAAGATAGACATTGTCCGCGGCAAAAGCTCCTGTGTTCTGTATCGAATCGGAAGGAAGATCTGTTGCCATAATGTCAGGTCACGCGGGATTTCGGTCTGTAGCTGACAGTCGTAAGAAAAGCTGGTGAACACCAAACGGAAACTATTGTAATGGGAAGAAGGAAACGTTATTGGTTTGTAGACATTGACACCTTTTCGTGGCACCCCATGGTAATATCTTCTGGGTCACATCAACGCGGGATTCTGAGACGCGGAGGATGGAAGACGTCTGGAAGAAAACATGATAACATTGGTCGTGGAAATCCGACACATCAAATTAGAATGAAATCAACAAAAACTTTGTGTTCCATCACTTTGTGTTCCAGTTGACAATGGTCGAGCACGGGGTGCAACCTCCCTAGCAGAATCCTCTCACTTCTCCCCCCCCCGCCATCCAAAACTTTCACTGAATCCATAAAACTTAACACTTCACAACGTAAATACTTCAAAATGTGGTGGAGATCGAGAGAGAAAAAATATCACCAGGTTCAGGAGATTCGGAGGACACAAAGGAAAGCTAATGCTGCAGTAAGGAGAAGGGTGGGGCAGAGAAGGAGGAGTAATGGGTAGTTAGGAGAGGAGAGGGGCAAATAAAGAGGAGTAATAAGGGACAGTAAGGAGAGGGGTGGGGCAGATAAGGAGAAATAATATGGGGGCATTAAGGAGAGGGGCAGATAAAGAGGAGTTATAGGAGACCGTAAGGAGAAGGGTGGAGCAGATAAAGAGGAGCAATTGGGATAGAAAAGAGAGTGGTGGGGCAGATAAAGAAGAGTAATAGGTGGCAATAAAGAGAAGGGCATGGCAGATAAAGAAGAGTAATTGGGAACAGGAAGGAGAGGGGGGGCAGATAAAGAGCAGTAATAGGGGGCATTAAAGGAGAACTATGGGGTCAGGGCTTTTCCCCATAGTTCTCCTATGGGTAACGGGAGAACACAAACTAGCGTCCTCCCTTCACCCTAAGCTCAGTATACCGCGAACTACAGTTTGCGGTATACAGAGACGCCGCAGCCGGGACGGATTCCTACATTACTGTCGAGATCCGCCCAGCTGCGTGATTGACAGCTGGCTCTGCCTATCTAGAGGCAGAGCCAGCTGTACCCGCCCCCTCCCCCGTCCGTTCCACCTGTCAGCGCTGGAGGATCGGAACGGGGAGGGGGGGGGGAATCCCTGCCGGGAGCCGTGAGTGACAATCACGGCTCTCTGCAAGGACATGATCGAGAAGTGAGCGAGCGACGGTATATGTTCTCTCACTTCCCGATCTACTGAGCCGACGTGTGATAGTTTCATTGTCACAGGTCGGCTAGAACTATGAGGATGAGGGGAAATCACTCACCTCATAGTTCTCCCTTAAGGAGAGGGGTGGAGCAGTTAAAGAGCAGTAATAGGGGGCAGTAAGGAGAGGGGTGGGGCCATTACAGAAGAGTAATAAGGGACAGTAAGGAGATGGGGTGGGGCAGATAAAGTGGAGTTATAAGGGGCATTAAGGAGAGGGGTGGAGAAGATAATGAGGTGTATTTTTAGACAGAAAGGAAAGAAGTGGAGCAGATAAAAGGAGTAGGGGCAGTAAGGACAGAGGTTGGGTAGATAAAGAGGAGTAATAGTAGATAGCGAGCAGAAGGGCAGGAGGGATAAATAGGAGTAGTAGGGGACAGTGAGGAAAGGGCAGGACAGTTTAAGATCAGTAATAGGTAGTAGTCAGGAGAGAGGTTGGTCAGATAAAGAGGTGTAATAGGGGGCAGTAGGGGTAAGGGTGAGGAAGATAAGGAGGAGTAATAGAGGGCAGTAAGGGAGGGGTGGGGCAGATAAAGAGGAGTATTAGGCCTGGTTCACACCTGGGCGTTTTACAGCGCGTTCCTACGCGCTGTAAAACGCTCAACATGTGAAAACCGAAGTCAGGGCAGAGAAGTCAGGGCAGAGAAGTCAGGGCAGAGAAGTCAGGG